GCAGATACACTGTGTCCAACTGGGACTGGTTTCAGGAGTGCAAGGATGGCTTAGTAGTCACTTTCACATATTTGCGTCTCATTGGTGGCCTCACCCTAGTCCTTGATCTGACATTGGGAAATCCACTAACATGATTTGCTTTGTTAATAGTGCTAAGGAGAAAAATCATGATTATCTCCACACGTGACGTCAACAAAAATTAAACATTTCCAACAAAAGAGGAATTAATGCATACGCCCTGGTGTGGTGGGAATGTGTCCCTGTCCCCAAAGTTCATGTGTTGGAAACTTCATCCCCAGGGCAACAGTACTGTAAGAAGCGGGAGCTAACAAGAGGTGATCAGGTCACGGTGGCTCAGCCCTCGTGGATGGGTTGATGGTGCTGTCTGGGGAGTGGTGGCTGCAAAAGCAAATTCAGCCCCCGCTGCTTTCTGGCGCTCGCCCCTTCTCGCCTTTCTGCTTTCTACCTTAGGATGATGCTGCACAAAGACTCTCGAGGATGTGGACCCTTCACCTTGGATTTCCCACCCTCCAGAGCAGTAAACGAAATAACCTTACGTTATTAATAAATTACTCGGCCTTTTGTATTCAGTTAAAGCAGCAGAAAAATGGATTAAGATGTACCCTTGGGTGGGGGGCAGGAGGGAGAAATGACCCAAACAATGTACGCATATGTGAACAAATGAATTATAAAAAAAAGATGTTCCCTTAATAATCTCTCTTTCCCTGCCTCCCTCCCTCTTTCCCTCTCTCTCTCCCTGTCTGTCTGTCTGTTGGTCTCTCCATCCTAAATAAAGTCAGCATCTTTCTTAACACGGGCAGTGCTAGAGTTCTTTTTACTAAGGCCAGTATTTTAATTAGATAAGAAAAAAACAACAGATACCAAAACTGTCTAAGAATCAATGAAAAAACTGAAAATAAATTTAGTATGGTCAAAAACCATAAATTAATACACACAGAAAGAATAACCAGTTACAAGATACAATGGAGGAAAGAAACATTTATAACCACAATAAATGAGGTAAAAATTTGAAGAAACACCCATGTAAGTATTCTTGAACAAACAGATACCTCCTGTTTCTGGAGAACATGACCCACGTTCATAAAAAGTCGACCTTAAACTTCATTACCCTCCCACACAAACACCAGCAACATGGCGGAAGAGGTAGGAATCTTTGAAATAAAAAGTAATGGAAGAAATCGGCCTTATTAGATATTAAAACACAATAAAGGAAGAATTGACTTTTCTCTGTCCTTATTGTAATAGTCTTGAATAAAATCTTTCTTGCCTTTAATTGAATAAACACAGGCAAACACACACACACACTAATGCTTTCACCACATGAATAAACAGACCTGTGAGACAGAATAGAAATAGGCCTAGCACTTCTGAGTAGTTTTCAGATGACAAAGGTACATTTCAGGTCCCTAGAGACAAGATGGCCTTTTTCTTGTGTGTGACCCTGGCCTTTTCTCAGGGCCTTGTGCTGGCTGGGCTGGTGCACCAGTCCTGAGTCACGCCCCCAGCCCAGCATGGCCTTTCTAGCACACAGTGTTAGAACAGAGGAACAGACATTTGGAAAAAGGTTAAGTTGGAGCCATACACTCAGTACAAAACCAAACAAGCACTAAAAAGATGGGTAAATCCCTTTATAATTGGGCTGGCAGATGTTTTTCTAACTCTGATTCAAAATCTAGATTTAAAAATCTTTGAAATTTTAAAAAAGTGTGATGGAATCGACTATATAAAAGTAAGAAGCTCTTAGTGGCAAATCCCACCATAAAGAAAGCATGAGAAAACTGAGAGAGACATTTGCAATATAATAAAAGTAAGACATTAATCTCTCTGATAAGTACTTTTAAACAAATTTTTAAATCCAAGGAAAAAAGACCCAACTCAAACAGAAAACGGGAAAAATATATGGACAAATAGTTCACAAAAAAGACAATCAAGTGGCTTAAACATATGAAAAGATATCTACCTGCATTCCTGAGGACAGAAACGTAAACTGCAAATGCACTGAAACATTGTATCAGATTGGCAAGGCCCTGTGGGAACCAGTGTCCTGTGGGAAATAGTTTCATACACGTGCAGCAGGGGTGGAAAATGGTGTCATCCCTTAACAGGGAATTTGGGAATATTTGACAAAACAAATACATATTTATACCAGCTTCTAGCAATTTATTTTAAGACACACCATCACAAATACAAACAACATACATGCAAGGCTACCCAATTTTCCACTGTTTTTAATAACAAAGACCTGAACAAAACCATACCACCATCCATAAGTTGAGTAAACTATAGTACAGCCACACAATGAAGTACTGTGTAGCTATGAAAAAGAATAAGGAAATCTCTATAAACTGGTGATACATGATTTGGGGGACATACTTCAGTAAAAAAACAAAAACAAAAAACTCCAAGGTACAAAGGAGATGTATATTCTAATTTTATCATAATGGATAAATGGCTTGGTTTGCAAAAAGAAATATAGACAGGATAAATTAAAAAAACTGTGGGATTGAGATGTGGTAGTTTTGCCCTTTGAACCACATAAATGTTTTACAAATAAAATTATGTCATAAGGAAAAAAGCAAAACAACCCAAATTGAGTGGAAACAAACTCATGCAACTAACAGTATATTAAATCGACAACATAAGTCACCAAGTACTGTGATCACACACCCAAAGAAACCCTGAACCTGCCCTTGTCAGTTTTGGTTGGTAGAGGTTAAGATGGAGTAATTCTGAAGCGATTTTGGGTGCATTCTAGGATAAAGAAAATGATTAAATATGCTGAAGTTTGGGGGAACCAGGTTCTCACTGTGAGAGAAAGGAGGTGAAAATATTAATTTCTATTTTTTGAAAGATCTTTTAGCTGAGACCACTAATGAAGTCTGGAGGCAGTGATACCAGTGACAATGAGCACATCTAACCCCTCAAACTGGCTTCTAGAACTCCCACCTCCCACTCAAAGGAGCTCAGGCTGTTCAGAGCACTGGCTGAGCTGGGCTTGGATCCATCTATAAGTAAGGGCTGAGTGGCACTCCAAGACTTATAGCGACCTGGCCGAAGGATGCAGAGACCAGCCTGAAAGGTGCTAGGTGGAGCCCAGACACCAAGCACCTCACTGACTTCTGCAGACTTCAGGAAGGCGTTCACTCCAGGGAAGGCTGGGGGCAGCTCTTGAACCCAGGCCAGGCTCCCCTGTCCACTACAGCAATTTGCAGAAGGCCCCGCCCTCTTCACGCACCTGGTCCTTCCAGGACCAAGGCCCTTCTGTGGCTGTGGCCCTGCAGCCTATTGGCTCCTTCTTACCAGTATCTCCCACTTCCTATCACCCTGAGTCCCAGCTCTGCCTGCCTGATTCCAGAGCCTGCCCTGCCCCCTGCTCCCTCTCCTGCCCCACCCCTTGCAGATCTCTTTAGCCCCCATCATGGCATCCTTTCAATACTCAAACTCCAAGGGCTGGTGGAGTGGCTCAAGGGTAGAGCACCTGCCTAGCAAGAAAGAGACCCTGAGTTCAAGTCCCAGTGCTGCCAAAAATAAATAAATAATAAATAAATAAATAAAATAACTCAACACTTCAAACCTTCTGCAGGCCGGCCACTGCACCCAGATAAAAACCTAAACCCTACCAGCTCCTCTCACCGGCTCTGCCTCTTCCAGCTCTTCCCACCCACCACCTGCATGCCCCTCAGGGATCTCACACCTGCTGTTCCCTCAGACCTTGTCCAGGGGATCCTCCCTTTCACCACTCAAGGAGCTCTCCCTGGCCAGACTAAGGCTCTGCCTCCACCTCAGTCTCTCTCCACCCCACCTGGTCTGTTTTATTTTCTTCCTAGCACTGATCCTCTGGCATGACCTCGGTTTTCCTCTAACTTCTCCTGCGGCTTCCCCCTGGCACACTAGCTTGCAGCACACAGTAGGTGCTCAATGAATGCCCTGGACAAGTGAGTGGACCACACAGCCTCCCCTGGTCTCCTGGCACAATGGCTGAACTATCAAAGTGGGAACGTCGTCTTTGCCACTGGTAGTCCTGAGACCTGCTAAGCCTCAGTTACTTCACCTGTGGAATGGGAACACAGCACTTTTCCCCAGGCGGATCTTCTCTGTGTGGCTCTCAGCAGGACATCCGCCTCACAGCCCCAGGAGGCAGGAAGTGGCGGCTGGGGGGGCCCTGCCACCCAAGTTGCAAGGTCTGTCTTTTTTTTTGCGGTGCATGGGGCAGGGTTTGGGGCAGCCACCCTTTCCTCTCCCCAACATCCCTCCAGGCTTTTTTTTCCCCAAGTAAACACAGAGAGGAGTAGATCCTGCCCTCTGTCCCTGCCCAAGGGACACACCCATAGTCCCCAGCAGATCCCACTGTCCTGCAGGCCCTCGGCCTCAAATCCGGTTCCAGCTTCGGTGACAACACCCTCTTCCCGAAAAGACAGGCCCTTTCCTTTCCTCTCCAGTACCCCGCAGGCCAGCCTTGCTGTCCCCATTTCATAGACAGGGAGACTGAGGCCCGCTGTGCAGTGGAGACTTTGAGTACAGGCTGCCTTTTCCTGCCACCCGAGTGGCTGAAAGCAGCTGGCTGGTCGCGGCAGAGCCGGGTCCCCGCAAGGCGCTGGGGGGTGTGCCCTTCGCGGGTCCCCTCGGGGCTCCTTCCAGGCATCTCCAGTCCCCGCGCCCCGGCCCCTGTGACCCGGCGCACGCACCCGCACCCCCCGGGTCCCTCACGCGCGTCGCGCAGCCCCTCGGCCGCCCGCCACCCCGCGCCACCCGGCCACGCGCGCTGTCACCCGCGCGCGCACCTGTGCCCCGGGTCAGATCCGCGCGTCCCCGCCAGCGCCATCCCCGCCCCACTCGCCGCCCCTGCCTACGGGTCGGGACCTCCCCGCACCCCGCGCCCGCACCCCGTCCCCCGTCGCTCGCAGCCCCTCCCAGCGCCCGGGAGCCCCGCGCCCTTGTCCGCAGCGCCAGGTGTCCCGCCTGCCCGCGTCGCTACTCACCGGCTCCCGGCGCGCCCCAAACCCGGGCCCAGCCCATGGGCAGCTCCCGCTGCGCCCGCTGCGAGCCGCGGCGCCGGGGACCGGGGACCTTGGGCCGGGGACCAGGCGCTGCCCGCCGCCCGCCGCCCGCTCGGATCCCGGGCGCAGCCCGCCGAGCGCCCCACCGCCGGCCCGAGCAGCGCGGCGCGGCGCCCCCTCGCGGCCGCATGCGGGAGCGCAGAGCGGGAGGGGCGCGGGGTGGAGCCGCGGAGCCCCGCCGCGCAGCCCTCTCCCCGCCGGCCTCTCCCCTGCACCCAGGCCTCAAGGTCAAGGCCAGATGTCCAGCCCGCGTGCTCAGGACCCTTCACCGCGTAGACGAGGTCTCATTGAGCAATGCATACTGCCTTCCCGAGCCTGGTTGCCGGAGGACTCTGTCCCGGAGCTGCCCCTTGTCCCAGACCGCCCTCGCTCGGCCAGCCCCTGGCACCCTGAGACCCGGCTCACCCTTTCCTTAAGGCTGGGTCCTGGCCGCTCCTCCGGATTCTCTTATGATGGCCACTCGACTTTAGGTTGTCCGTGTCCCTGGGTCCTGTGGGCACCCATGGGCATGGGGGAGTGGGTAGGACTGCACACACTGCCCCCTTCCTCCCGTGAGGACTGGCCCACGCGGAGGCCACCTCCACTCTGACGACGCTGGGGTGCTGGGAGGGTAAGGGTGCGATACTTCACTTTCAGGCACGGGAGAGGGGCACGGAACGTAAAAGCCATTGTACGTTGCTTTCAAGAACAGCTAGATCCAGGAGACTAAACGGTCTGAGGGCCAGACACAGTGGCAGAGATAAGAGGATCATGGTTCAAGGTCAGCCTGAGCAAAAAAAGTTAGCAAGACCCGGTCTCAAAGAATAAACCAGGCATGGTAGTGTACTTCTGTAATCCCATCTATACAGGAAGTAGAGATAGGATTGAGGTTGGAGGTTAGCTGGGCAAAAGACAGGAAATTCTATCTGAAAAATAACTAAAGCATAAAGAGCCAGAGGTGTGGCTCAAGTGGTAGAGTGCTTGCCTAGCAAGTTTGAGGTCCTGAGTTCAAAACCCAGTACCACCAAAAAAAACAAAAACAAAATCCAATATGAATAGGAATCCATCTCCCCTATCTACCAATTCCTCAGTGGTAGAGTGTCCCCCTGTTGACACCGTCAAAAATGTCCTATCTGCCTAATAGTTCTAAGGAGAGCTCACGACAGCTGTGCACAGGCTCAGAGGAGCCAGATCTGGTTGTTGCCACAGACCTGGGGAGAGAGGGCTACAGGCCTGGGTGCTGCCGCCTGGAGCTGGGGCTGGAGTTAGCCCTGTGTCAACCCTGAGCACAAAGAAGGGTACTGCTCTAAGCACATTCTGAGGGCTATTTCTAGAAGAACAGACAAATAAAAACAAAAAGTCTAGTTCACTGTCCTCACAGTTGGGGAAGCTGAGGCAAAGAGCGGGCAAGCACCTGTCTGGGTCACACAGATGTATTAGGACCAATGCAGGGTGGTGGTGGGCTGGGCAAGGGACAGTGGGGCCTTGGGATGGCCAGGGCCAGAGGCTGGCTGCAGTGAGGGGATGTCTGACACCCATGTCAAAGGTCAGGTGTGAGAAGGGGAGGCATGAAAGGGGAAGGCAAGTGGGGCAGGTTTGTGGCTTCTAACATGGACACACCTTGGGTGCAGGCCCTGGGGCCAGTGGTCAGACTAGAGCAGGCCACAGTCACCAGTCATCTCTAATGTCCACCCCAGTCCCCAGCCCTGGGTTCTAGGAAACTCTGATAAGGTGACCCACTTAGCTAACATGCTGGGGCCTGAACAGAGCTGCAGGGCCTCCCCACTTGGTGCAGCTCAGGAGCGGGAACCAGTCTCTCCCCATCCCACCCATGGAGAACCTTCCTTCTGGCAAATGACCAGGACCACTGAGGCATGTTGTCATGCTGGGAGCAGGTGGAGCTGCTTGGAGTCAGGTGCGGCCTGTTTCAGCAGCTGAAATTTAAGGATGCACTTGCCCATGACCACAGATCCTGCATGGGTGAGTGAGACAGAGCTATGCTCCATGACAAAGTGGAGGTTGCCACCTCTTCTTGCCAAGTCTGCAGCTGCACAAGGAGAGGGCCGGTGTCAGGGTTGGCTTGAGGATGTAGCATATACCACAGTCACTGCTACCTGCAGCTGTCTGAATCTTAGGACCAGCATGGAGTCCTGCTCTGGGGCATTCTCAGCTTTGGAGGACGCTGGCTGCAAGTGGTGTGGCTAGCCCTGCCCCCACCCAGCCCACTCATAGCACCAGATCCAGCAAGGTCCCTCAGCTGTTCCACCCCCTGCTCCACCCCAGCCTCCCTTCCTACTCCAGGACTTGCCCAGGGACCGTCCCTAAGTGACAGGCTGGTGTTGGGACAGAGAGTTAGCTGTCCCAAGACCTGTCAGCTCAGCCTACCCTGACCCCCACCCTACCTTGGATGTGGCCATAGGGGCAGGTTTAAGCCTCAGCCCTGCCAGCAGTGTCCCCAGCAGGCAGTGCTATGCCCAGCTGCACTGGCTTTGGCTCCCAGAAAGCCTTTCCCAGCATCCCCTGGATCCCTTTCTTGGTCGCTCAGAAGGACCATCAACTCTGGGTTTGTCCCACCAGCTGAGCACTGGGTTGGTGGTCCTGAGGTCCTTGTCCACTGAGAGTGGGTGGGAGACAGAGGCAGCCAGCCAGAGCCTGAGAGGAGGGGGCAGGTAGGTGAGAGCTGACACCAGGCAGGGGTAGGGGATGGGAAGAACCTCAGGGCAGGCCATTCCTGGGGGAGAAGCTGCAGGGCTGGGTGATGGGAAGACAGTGCAAGGTATCAGGAGTGACAGAGATGGCCTGGGCCTGGCAAGGGGCAGGGAGAGTGAGGAGACCCTTCACAGCAAGTGAGGTTCTGCTGAGACCGTGGGACCAGGGGGCATTTGGGGGCCATCTGGAGGTGGCTGGACTCATGGGTGCAGTCTGCAGTGGGGCCTTGGAGGTGAAGGAAAGAAACTCTTGGAGTTCCAGCAGCTGCCAACGCTCAGCCCCAGGAGCCTGTTCGGCCTCAGCAGCACATCTACCCCCAGCTCTTGGCACAGCTGCAGCAGGTGACTCAGGCAGGAGTCCGACAGCGAGCAAGGCTCCTGAGCTGGATCACCGATAAAGTCCAAGAATAAGGAGGACAACTCTGGGCGCCAGCCAATGCACTTTATGTTAACACAACCCATAAGGTGTCCATTCTTGGGTCTGGTGAATGCACTCCAGTTATTACAAGGGTAGAGCACTGGGCAAAAGTCATTGGCCAGCTGGCTATTGGTGCGTGTGTGTGTGTGTGTGTGTGTGCTTCTATTATTGTTTGTACAGCCGCAGTGTCTGGGTGGGGATTGAGGAGGAGTGAGAGGGAAATTGAGTATGCGTGTGCACGATGTGTGTGCATGTGTGGTGCTGTTCCATGCATGTGCATGGTGTGTGGTGCATGCGTGCGGTGGTGTGGGGGGGTATGTTGGGGACATGCACTGTGGTGAGAATGTTATGAGATGAGTGTAGATCTGAGTGTAGGGGTGTTCGGTCCCCGCCACCATTACAAGGTTCCACATGCGGCTCGCCTGAGAATGAAGGAAGGTCTTCCAGATGAGACTCCTTAATGGCCGAGCCTGAGATGAGGCTACAGGTCGTTGATGTGGGAGGCGATCTCAGGGAGGGAGTGACAGTACACACAGTGCACATTACTGGGGTGATTGTCACCATGGGCAACTAAAGACCCAGCTTTGAGGACTGTGCCGAACACAGAGTGTAGGGTGCAAAACCCGCTGGCTACAGTACACCCCTTGGGACACTAAGATTCCTTCTGCTCCCACATTAAGTCTACAAGGTCACCTCCCTTCTCTCCCACCCCTCCTAGGATCCCCAAAGCCACAGGCAGCACTCCTGGCAGTCTATGTGGCGGACTTGGGGTCATAACTGGAAATGAAGCACAGAGGTGCTTGTGGCCTTTCTGGGTTCTGGACATAGTGCCTCTGTCCCCTCCCCTGCTGGCAGGGAGAACCTCAGGTGTCCTGGAGCCTAGCCTTAGGCTCACAGGATCCTAGGCAGGGGTCCCGAGCACAGTCTAGATCTGCAGGCATGGGAAATTCCCTCCCAACAGTCCTCAGCCCCCAAAGCTTGGGGGAAAGTTGCAGTATGATCAATGCTGGTGGAGGACAGAAGAACACCTCCCTGAGCTGCCTGCCACACTCGAGGTCTCACTTATCCATGGTGGCCAAATGTCAGCATTCATGGAAGTCACCTGGAATACTTGAGGAAAAGCCAGCCCCCCATGGAGACTTAGGTTTGAGGGTATTTGTAACAAGTGGCCCAGGTGAGGCAGGTGCAGGCTGAAGATGCGGATAGAGCTAGCATCCCCATCTGTGGCGGGCAGGATAAGGGCTCCCAAAGATGTCCACATCCTAAAACCTAACACCCATGACTAGGTTACCTTCTGTGGCGACAGGGACTTTGCAGGTGTGATTAGGCTAAGGAGCTTGAGGTAGGAGATTAATTTAGATTCCAGGTGACACAGTATAATCACATGGGTCTTTAAAGGTGGAAGAGAGGGGCAGAAGAAGAAAGCCAAAGAGAGATGTGACAACAGAAGCACAGTCAGGGACATGCTGCACTTCTGCCCATGAAGATGGAGGGGAGCGAGAGCCGGGGAACACTCGTGGCCTCTAGAAAAATGAAAAAGCATAGAATCAGATTCTCTCCTCCAGAAGCGATCATTCCTACAGACTCCTTACTTTCAGCCCAGTGAAACCCATGCTGGAATTTTGACCTGCACAACTATAAGATAATACAATTGTGTTGTTTGAGCCACCAAGCTTGTGGTAATGAGTGACGGCAACAATAGGAAACGAATTCACCATTTCACCTAAGGGACTCAGAGAGGGCAGGCAACTTGGGCAGGTGGCCCAGCAGAGCCAGTGCCCATGGCCTGGCTGGCTAAAGTCCCAACCCTCCACTGGCTGAGCAGAATGGACACAAAGGAGCCCTAGCCTTCCCTGAGAGCCTTCTTACAGCACAGACCCCTGCTGACGTCTGACCC